TAGCCTAGCACCTAGAGCCTTCTCTCCTTGGTGGTTCAAAGCCAAGTGATAACAATTGCAGACAGCAGAGAACATGACAGACTCTTCAAGGGCAAGGTCCACATCCCCACCTTGTCCACAGCCTCCAGGGCTTCCCGGAAGAATGTATGGGTCCTGTGGGACTCTGTGCAAACTCCCTTGGTGTTTTAGGGTATCCTTCTCACCCTGAAGCCTTGACAGTGTCAGAAGCAGATGTCGGTGTGATAACACAGGAAACAAGGAGATCATCTAGAAACAATGGATTTGGAGTTCTTGAGGACATTATTGGTTGGGTGTTTGTTCAAGCTGATGGAAATTCAGCTATGGGTGTGGTCCAGGTGGTTGGCAACCTGCTATTTTAGAGACAGTGTAGAAGAAATCAGGAATAGCACATGCTGTCTCAAAAATAAAGAAAAGACCACCATGCCACATACCATATGGAAATAGGAAGGAAGGAAGGAAGGAAAAGGGAAGAAAAGAAAGGAAGGAAGAAAGAAACAGAATGAAAGAAAGAAGGCACTAGCAAGTGTTTTTAAACTAATGTTTCTAAACCAGACTTGTTGATAACACCTTGACCCCAAGCTCCGTGTACATTCTAACGTGAGCTCAGCCAGGAGCCAGTTTTTCAGGAGTCTTTTTCTTCTGTCTGTTTTTCCCCCTCACTGTTTCCTTGTAGTTACCAGCAGCAATTTCTGAGAAAACCTTGACCTTGCTTATGATAGAGTAGGCGTGTTAACTAGAGAAGACCAATGTTAACCTTCCAACTAAAACCACCTTAAATCAACACACTTTTAAAAAACAAATGAACAAGGCCGGGCACGGTGGCTCACGCCTGTAATCCCAGCACTTTGGGAGGCCGAGGCAGGCAGATCACCTGAAGTTAGGAGTTGAAGACCAGCCTGGCCAACATGGTGAAATCCTATCTCTGCTGAAAAAAAAAAAAAAAAAAATTAGCCGGCTGTGGTGGCGCATGCCTGTAATCCCAGCTACTTGGGAGGCTAAGGCAGGAGAATCGCTTGAACCCGGGAGGGAGAGGTTACAGTGAGCCGAGATCACGCCATTGCACTGCAGCCTGGGCAACAAGAGAGAAACTCTGTCTCAAAAACTAAACAAACAAACAAATAAATATTTAAAAACAAACATAGTAAAACTTTTTTTAACCGAAAGAGCTGACTGCAGTCTTTGCTGCATTTACACGTCATGTGCCGGCCCCTTTAGAGACCCTCTCATTAGCACTGTGGGGGCTGCAAATGCCAAAAGCAGCTCTAACCATCCTCGCGGTACTGAGCAGTTAGTGCATGGTGCAACACGAGCAGGGCTCAAAAGCAGCTTCTCTATTTGTTTATTATGCACAGTATTCAGGAGGTGGACGCAGCCCAAGTGTCCATGGACAGATGAATGGATGCAGAACGTGGTCTGTCCATACAATGGAATATTATTCAGCCATGAAAAGGAAGGACATTCTGACACATGCTACAACATGGATGAATCCTAAGGACATTTTGCTACGTGAAATAAATGAGTCACAAAAGGACAAATGTTGTATGAATCCAGCTATATGAGGGACAAAGAGTACCTAAATTCATAGAAATAGAAAGGGAATGGTGGTTACCAGGGGCTCTGAGGAGAGAGAAAGGGAGAGTTATTTCATGAGAGTAAATTTTCACTTTTGCAAGATGAAAAAGTTCTGGAGATCTGTTTCACAGCAGTTCCAATATACTTAAAAATACTAAACTGTACGCCTAAAATGGTTAAGGTCGAGAATTTTGTTATGTGTTTTTTTACAGTTAAAAAACAAAAACAGGCTGTGTGTCAGGGCTCACGTGTGTAATCCTAGCACTTTGGGAGGCTAAGGCAGGAGGATCACTTCAGCCCAGGAGTTTGTGACTGGTCTGTGCTACATGGTGAAATCCCATCTCTACAAAAAATACAAAAATTAGCTGGGCCTTGTGGCCTGCACCCGTAGTCCAAGGTATTTGGAAGGCTGAGGCAGGAGGATCACCTGAGCCCTGAAGGTTAGGCCGCAGTGAGCTGTGATCATGCCACTGCACTCCAGCCTGGATGACAGAGTGAGACCTTGTTTCAAAAAAAAAGGAGAAAAGAAACTCAGCTTCCCTCTCTCAACGTCTGGGCTGCACTCTTTGGTGCTGCCTACATCCTCAAGTCCCTAGGTCTCCATGGCTAGAGATCCTGGTGTCCAGTCTAGTCTCCTTGGCTCTGATTGGATCACATGCCCCACCCCTGGCCAATCACTATGGCCAGTGAATGTGGTTTGTTGCTTAGCCACACCCACAACAATGAGCTGAGAGAAGGAGGGAGATTACCCACAGTCTCCAAAAGATGCTGAGGGGTTCTGGCCTGGCCACTGCAGAACTGTTGCCCTTGAGGCATGAGACACAGCCACTCCCCTTAGCACCTGTGCAGTTAGTTGGCATGAGGCACCCTTACCTTAGAGCCTGGCCCACCGAATGTCCCAGCATGAAAGTGGATTCATCCACCACAACCAATAATCTCAACATTTGTGTTCTAGAAGGCTGGGGTAAATTGCATTGGAGTTTACCTGCTGTCACCTTCAGCCCAGTCACTCAGTGAATACTTACTAAACCCACAGGAAAGGGTAATGGGAATGAGTGAAGCAAGACAGCCCTGAGGATGGGGAGGAACAGGATGGATGGCGAAGTCAGCCCTGGGCAGAAGCACAGTGCCTCAGCTTCTGAAACCAAAGAATGGAAGAGAGGGTAGGTGGAGAGGCTGAGATGTTGACAGTGGAGAGAAATGGGAAACTATACGTAAGATAACAGGGTTCTAGAACTCTCCCCAGACCCACTCCTGAATACAGATTTCAGATGGGCCGGTGTCGTTACGAATGCCTGGCCGGGTATCTCCAGATGTATTAGTCCGTTCTCACAAGGCTATAAGGACATACTGGAAACTGTGCAATTTATAAAGGAAAGATGTTTAATTGGCTCACAGTTCCCCAGGGCTCGGGAGGCCTCAGGAAACTTACAATGATGGCAGAAGGGAAGCAAACATGTGCTTCCTCACATGCCAGCAGCGAGGAGAAGTGGAGAGTGAGGGGATAGGGAAAGCCTCTTATAAAACCATCAGATCTCATGAGAAGTCACTCACTATCACAAGAACAGAATGGAGGTAACTACACCCATGATTCATTTACCTCCCACCAGGTCCCTCCCAAGCCCTCCTAAGGGGATTGTTGGAACTACAGTTCAAGATGAGATTTGGGCGAGAACACAGCCAAACCATGTATCACCAGCTGATCGGAGTTTGATGCCATTATTTCCCAGAACACTCCTCACTGACTCCAAGAAAGAGCCTTGTGGGGGAATGCATGGAATCCCTGAGCAGCTGTAGACACACTGCAGCTTGGAGATTAGAATCCTGAGTGAATGGAGGGGCGTCCTCTTGAATAAAACCCAGCTGAAGTTCTAGGAAGTGCTGTCCGCCGGAGCTCTGATTTTGGAAGCATTCTGTCCTGTTCCTCGTTGCGTGTGTCTGAGCTCCTATTCTCTCTGGGCTACAGAAGGAGAACCTTGAGCCCTGGGAAAATAGGGATGAGACCCTGCCTAGGAAACAAACTCTTTGAATTTAGCTCTTACCTGGAAAGTGTTATTTCTGCCTAAAGAATTGGGAGACAGAGGAGGGGGGAGAGAGAGAGAGAGAGAAGGAAGAGGCTGTCCGATCTTGATCGCAGTTCTCTGTCCACCACTTCCTGCACCGGGTAAATTCCTTAACCTCTCCAAGCCTCACTTCTAACACAGGAATAAGGAGAACCCTCACACAAAGGGTCATGGTGAGGAATCAATAGCTTGGTGCAGTAAGTGGTATTGCTCATCAATGGCATCATTCAACCACTAGGCACCGTGGAGAAACCACCACTAAAGCAAAAGCCAGGCGTCAGCACCACTCCAGGTTTGCTGGCCCACGGTTAGGTGGATTTTGATGTGCTCTCTGCTGAAAGTAGTTGCAACATCTTCCCCAGGGCCTCTGCCAGAGTCGGGTGTACTGGTGTGGAAAAGCAAAGGCGAATTAGACAATCAGCATCCCTGCAACCCCAGAGCTCTGAATTTTGAGGGATAGACAGACCCACAGTGTGGACAGAAAGAGAAAAGGCTGTGGAGTCCCAGGGAGCTGGGCTGGAATCTCAGTGATTGGCTTGTTCTGTTATTTTGACCAACATTTGAGGACCTACTAGGGATGAGCCAATCGTTTATTCTAGGGGCTGTGGATACAGTGGTAAGAAAGATAGATGCAAAGTCCCTAATCCCTTAGAGGGGCATTCTCCTGGCTCAGAGGCTCAATACCACATCTGTGGTGTTGGGGGGTCACTTGGCCTTGCCCAGCCTGTGTCCTCTGAGTGTTGACATCACGGAGTGTTGAATGTATTAAATGAGTTAACGCAGGTGACTCTTTCAGCGGGGTGCCTGGGTAAAGGATGCACTCACTAAATGGTGGTGTTGATATGCGCTGTGTGGCCCAGGCAAGGACCCCCATCCCAAACTTGAAGAGAGTCCAGGAAGGCTTCCTGGAGGAAGTGACTCATTGTTTTTTTGTTTGTTTGGTTTTGGGACAGGGTCTCATTCTGTCACCCAGGATGGAGTGCAGTGGTGCTATCACTGCTCACTGCAGCCTCAACTTCCTGGGCTCAGGTGAGCCTCCCACCTCAGCCTCTCGAGTAGCTGGGACTACAGATGCAGGCCACAAGGCCCAGCTAATTTTTTGTATTTTTTGTTGAGGCAGGGTTTTGCCATGTTGCCCAGGCTGGCCTCAAACTCCTGAGCTTAAACTAGCTAACCTCCCACTTTGGCCTCCCAAAGTATTGGGGTTACAGGTATGCACCTCCATGTCTGACCAGAAGTGACTCATAAACCAAGACCTCAGGCAGCAATTCCGTGGCTGGGACAAAGGAATGGAGACCCTCCCAGGTGGTCATAACCTCCCCTGACCCTTGTCTGCCCCTGCAGGTCTCCTACCCATGGATGAGGGGCCCAGCACCATGGCCAGGGCCACACCCACCTCATGCCACACAGCGGCCGAACCAGGGCACCCCGCCACATATCCCCTTCCACCAGGGCATCCAGCCAGCACCAGTGCAAAGGAGCTGGTCCCAGGGCTTCCCCAGACCCACCACGGTCCCCCTAGCCTCCCACCGGCGGCCTGCGAGCGCCAGAGAGGAGATGTTCTCATTCGTGGTGGATGGTGCCCGCAAGCCCTCCATCATCAAGCAAGGTAAGCGTCAGGGCTGCCCTTGGTGGCTTGGGGGTGGATTCACAGCCATATGGATGGGTCTTGGTTTTGCCTTACTTTTTGATTCTAAAAGTAGAACATGTTCAATGGTTAAAAAATAACAATAAATTCAGGAGAAGCAGAAAGTAAGAAACAGTTAAAAATCAGCCATAATCCTTATCCCTAGGGTCTACCTGTTGTCTCTCTGGTCCCTCCAGCCTCCGTGCTGTGTCAGTACACACATACCAGTACGCCTGCAGTGGGTGCGCACCTCTGTGCCTGTGTACACGTGAGTGTGTCCCGGGATCTGCGTCACACTTTGACTCAGACGTGCAAGTATATTAGTGATTGTAAACCCCTTTGCCCCCAACAGCCCCAGGAGGTTTTCAAATATTTTATCACCATGTTACAGGTGAGGGGAGACTGAAGCCTATCAAGGAAAAGATTCCCCGGAGGAAATATATTCAGTCCCAGCTAATCTCTTGTTTTTCGGTCGCATTTAAGGCTGGTGAGCTCAGTGACGGCCCAGTCACAGCCTGGTCACTTTGGAACACACACCACCTTCAGGGTTTCCTTCCTTCCCCACTGACCCCCTTGAAAGCCTCATGGTACTTGGGAAGGAAACTTCTCATCTGTCACTGTCCTCTTGGCCTCAGCAACCTCACTGGCAGAAGAGCTGGTCAGTTTAGTCCCAGGCACGGTTCCCGGAGCTCCCCCATGGCCTCTGGCACCAAGGTCCATTCTCTGTCCTCTTTGTCCCAGCTCCAGACCCCTCTGAGTCCCCAAGTATCCCTCAGCGGCTTCCACATCTTCCCCCGGTCTTGCTCAAGACCGTTCACCTAGTCAGCTTCCTCGGTCACTAAAATAATAGTTATGATTGTGACATATGCAAACGGAAGAGCCAATGCACTGCGTCTCCACGGCTCACGTCGTCGTCATCGTCAAATGCGCCGCCGCACACCTACCACCTGCAATGAAAATGGCCTCAGCCATTTCCCACCCACATTTTAGTACGAACAGTTTTTTTTTTTGTTTGTTTGTTTGTTTGTTTTTGAGACGGAGTTTTGCTCCTGTTACCCAGACTGGAGTGCAATGGCGCGATCTCGGCTCACCGCAACCTCCGCCTCCTGGGTTCAGGCAATTCTCCTGCCTCAGCCTCCTGAGTAGCTGGGACTACAGGCACGCGCCACCATGCCCAGCTAATTTTTTGTAGTTTTAGTAGAGACGGGGTTTCACCATGTTGACCAGGATGGTCTTGATCTCTTGACCTCGTGATCCACCCGCCTCGGCCTCCCAAAGTGCTGGGATTACAGGCATGAGCCACCGCGCCCGGCCAGTATGAACAGTTTTTAAACATACAGCAAAGTAAAAAGAATGTCACAGTGCCCCCACCCCACCTAAATCTACCGTACTGTACTCTTCTTTTTTCTTTTCTGAGACGGAGTCTTGCTGTGTTGCCCAGGCTGGAGTGCAGTGGCACCATCTCCATCTCCTGGGTTCAAGTGATTTTCTTGCGTCAGCCTCTCAAATAGCTGCGATTACAGGCACGTACCATCATGCCTGGCTAATTTGTGTATTTTGAGTAGAGATGAGGTTTTGTCATGTTGGCCAGGTTGGTCTCAAACTCCTGACCTCAAGTGACCCACCCACCTGGATCTCCCAAAGTGCTGGGATTACAGGCATCAGCCAACCGCACCTGACCCATTTTGCTATACTCTTATTATATATATCTATCTGTCTATCAAACATTCTGTTAATTCATTAATCCACCTTAATTTTGGATACATTTTAAAATAAGTTACCTACAGCTGTAGACTTCCTCCTAAACATTTAGCAGGTATAGCATCAACTAGAGTTCAACAGTTTTTGTCTTTTTGTGTAAAATTAACGTACAGTGTGTACTAGTTACCAATTTATAACCAATTACCCTAAAATGTAGCAGGCTAAACAAACAGAAACCCTGTGCCTTATCTTATACCATTTCTGTGGGTCAGGCATTTGGGTGGAGCTTGGCAGGATGGCTGTGGCTCAGGGACTCTCAGGAGGTTTGCATTAAGGTTTGTACCAGAGCTGCGGTCCTCTGAAGGCCTGCCTGGGGCTGGGGACACATCTCCTGGGGAGTTGATGCACATGCATGTGGGAGGAGGTCTCAGTTCCTCACTAGCTGAGAGCAGGAAGTCTCAGTTCGTCACCACTGCCACCTCTCCTAGGCTGCTTGAGTCTCCTCATAAAATGGCCACCAGCTTCCTCCAAAAGAGCGGTCCTAGAGAGAAAAGCAGCAGGCACAATGTCTCTTAAGATCCAGCCTGAGGAGTCAAATCCATCATTTCTGCAGTAGCCTTGGTTACGTAGAAGCTCTGTTATGGCTGAATTGTGCCCTCTCAAAATGTCTATGTTGAAGCCCTAATCCCCAGTACCACAGAACCTAACTGTATTTAGAGAATGCCCGCCTTTCTTCTGCCTTTCTTCTTCCTTCCCCTCCCCTCCCTCCCCTCCCCTCCCCTCCCCTCCCCTNCTCACTTTTGGTGTCCATTTGAATGAAATGCTTTTTTCCATCCCTTTTCTTTAAGGTTATGTGAGTCCTTATGTGTTAGGTGAATCTCCTGAAGGCAGCAGATAGTTGTTGGTGAGTTCTTATCCTTTCTGCAGTTCTGTATTTCTTAAGTGGGGCATTGAGGCCATTTACATTCAATGTTAGTATTGAAATGTGTTTCCATTGCATTCATTGTGCTATTTGTTGCCTATGTACATTGGGTTTTTTTGTTTGTTTGTTTTTGCTTTTTAAAACGTATTTTTGTTTGATAGGTCCTGTGTGATTGATTTATGCTTTAAAGAGGTTCTGTTTTTATGTGTTTCCGGGATTTGTTTCAAGATTTAGAGCTCCTTTTAGCAGTTCTTGTAGTGGTGGCTTGGTAGTGGTGAATTCTCTCAGCATCTGTTTGTCTGAAAAAGGCTGTTATCTTTCTTTTATATATGATGCTTACTTTCACTGGATACAAAATTCCTGACTGATAATTGTTATATTTTTGGGAGGCTGAAAATAGGACCCCCAATTCCTTCTAGCTTGTAGGGTTTCTGCTGAGAAATCTGCTGTTAATCTGATAGGTTTTCCTTTGTAGGCTCCCTTCCTCTTCCCTCCTCTCCCCTCCCCTCCCCTCCTCTCCTCTTCCTTCCTGCCCTCTTCCCTTCCCTTCTCATCTCTCTTTCTGTCTTTCTTTCTTTAATTTTGAAACCAATTCTCACTCTGTCACCCAGGCTGGAGTGCAGTGGAACAGTCCCGGCTCACTACAGCCTCCGCCTCCCAGGTTCAAGTGATTCTCCTGCCTTAGCCTCTCAAGTAGCTGGGATTACAGGCACCCACCGTCACGCCTGGCTAATTTTTGTATTTTTAGTAGAGATGGGGTTTCTCCATGTTGGGCAGGCTGGTCTCGAACTCCTGACCTCAGGTGACCTACCCGCCTCAGCCTCCCAAAGTGCTGGGATTGCAGGCATGAGTCAATGTGCCCCGCTGAGAATGCCTTTAAAGAGGTAACTAAGTTAAAATGAGGTCGTTAGGTGGGGCCTAATCCAATCTGTTGTCCTTGCGAGAGAAGGCGATTAGGACACAAGCAACACCAGAGGAAACACCATGTGAGGACATAGTGAGAAGACAGCCATCTGCAGGCCAAGGAGAGGCCTCAGGAGAAACCACCCGGCTAACACCTTGGTCTTGCAACCTCTAAAACTTGAGAAAATCAATTTCAGCCAGGTGTAGTGGCTCACCCCTGTAATCCCAGCAGTTTGAGAGGCTGAGGCAGGAATATCCCTTGAGGCCAGGAGTTCAAGACCAGCTGGGGAAACATAGCAAAACCCCATCTCTATTTTAAAAAGAAAGAATTAAAAATTTAATAAAGGAAAATTAATTTCTGTTATTAAGCCCCCCAGTCTGTGGTATTTTGTTGTGGCCACTTGAGCATATTAATGCAAGCTTCATCCAGCATTGGAGAAGACTATAGAGCCATGAATACAGGGACCAGGGCCATCTTGGAAACTGGCTGCCACTCAGTGAAACGCACAGATCTTGAGTGAACACTCACTGCATTTTGGCAATGGTATACACCTATGTAACCCAAACCCCTCTCAAGAACATCACCATCACCCCAGGAAGCTCCCTCAGGTTGCTTCCAAGTCACTTCCCAACCCCTAACCCCAGAGGTAACCACTCTTCCAAATTCTTTTTCCACCATGGATTACAGATTCCTGTTCTAGATTCTCAAATAAGTGGAATCATGTGGTGTGTGTTTTTCATGTGAGGCTTTTTTCACTCAGCATATTTCTGAGATCCATCTATGTGGCTGTATGTCTTACACGTTGCTCCTTGTTACCGTTGAGTCACATTCCATGAACCCGTATCACAGATTCTCTTTATCCATTCTTCCACTGGTGGACACGGGTGCTGTTTCTTTTTTCACCCGGTCGTTGACGAGTGGATGTCTCCCCCGTTTCTCTAGGGCCATGTTGAACTTGGGAAGTGAGTAAGCCACGAACTGTCCTGTCTATGGCTTTGAGGCCCCCAGATCTCCCTGGGCTCCACCACTACAGCCTCCCACTGGGGTACCACCTGGGTTGAGAAGGCACCGTGATGTCCACTCCCAAACTTCCACCACATTCCCCTGATTTGGAGAGGGGCTTTCACCTTCCTGTAGTGAGGAGTTCCCTTGTGTGAGGCCCGGGCCTCTCTGCTCCAGGCTTAGGAGAAAACTCCCAGCTCCAGTCCTCCAGGTTGGCTCTTCATTGAAGGCACCCATTTTTGAGGAATCTGGGGAAACCCTTTCCTCTCTTAACAGAGCTGGACTCTTCAAACAAAATTGTTTTGTTTCTAGACCATTGCCTTGCTTTAGCTTTGAAAAATTCTACTTGGAAACACAAAGCAAGGAACTTAATTGTTCTGGGTCAGGGTTTCTCAGTCTTGGCTTGCTGACATGTGGGGCCAGGTAATCGTTTGTCGTGGGGCTGTCCGGAGCATTGTTTTTGAGACAGAGGCTCGCTCTGTCGCCCAGGCTGGAGTGCAGTGGCGCACTCTTGGCTCACTGCAACCTCTATCTCCCAGGTTCTAGCAATTCTTCTGCCTCAGCCTCCCAAGTAGCTGGAATTCAGGTGCCCACCACCATGCCTGGCAAATTTTTGTATTTTTAGTAGAGATGGATTTTTGCCATGTTGGCCAGGCCGGTCTTGAACTCCTGTCCTCAAGTGACCAGCCTGCCTCAGCCTCCCAAAGTGCTGGGATTACAGGTGTGAACCACCAGGCCTGGCCCAGCCTGTGCATTGCTGAGTGTTTAGCAACATTCCTGGCTTCTACCCACAAGATGCTTCTAGCAGTTCTCCCCCCACTCAGGCTGTGATACTCGAAATTGTCCCCAGACATACGAAATGTCCCCAGAGGGGACAGACTTGCCCTGGTCAAGGCCCCCTGTCTTGGTGGTGCTCGCCCTTCTCCAGCAGGCAGTGAGGCCACAGCTCCAAGGCCAAATCTTAATGGCAAAGCTCATACAGGTGAGGGAGAAAGAATTAGAATAGAGAGCAGAAATGTATGAGGTGATTTTTAAAGATCTCATCCTGATTTATATATACTGTCAATAATGGAATAATAGTGGGATTGTTTGACCCTAACACTGGTATCCTACTTTTTAAAATTTAACACTGTATGATGAAGGTCAATACATTGACTGCATAAGGGTTGAGAGTACAGGCTCTGAGTCAGACAAACCTGGGTTCAGATCTTCACACTTACAGCTGCGGGACCTTGGCCAACTTCTTGACATCCCGGTGCCTCAGAGCCCTCACTTACATAATACGATATGAATGCCATGTCTCTAGTTGTTATGCTGAATTTTTATTGTTGTATTGTTATTTTTTATTGGGTTTAAAAAATATATTTTTGGCCGGGTATGGTGGCTCCCACCTGTAATCGCAGCGCTGTGGGAGGCTGAGACAGGAGGCTCACTTAAGCTTAGAGGTTTGAGACAGCCTGGATAACATAGCAAAATCCCATCTCTACAAAAAATTAAATTAGCCAAACATGGTAGCATGCACCTGTAGTCCCAGCTACTTGGGAGCCTGAGGTGGGAGGATCAGTCGAGCCCAGAAGGTCGAGGTCGCAGTGACCCACGATCGTGCTACTGCACTCTAGCCTGGGTGACAGAGCAAGACCCTCTCTGTCTGTCTCTCTTTCTCTAAATATGTATGTGTGTGTGTTTGTGTGTGTGTGTGTGTGTGCACGCGTGTGTGTATGGAAAATATATATATGTAGAAAATACATATATATATTTAGAATATATATATGTATATATTTTTCTAATCCACAGTTGGTTGACTCCACAAATGTGGAGCCCACACATATGGAGGCCCAGCTGTATCTATTTCTTGTTATAAATCCCAATATCACAGAACCAGATATAAATAAGACTTTGTGGGCCATACAGTCTGTGTTGCAGCTACTCAGCTCTGTGTTTGTGGCACAAAAGCAGCCGTAGATGACATACATGAGTAACTGTGGCCGCATTCCAGGAAAACTGCCCCTTCCGTCACAGGCGCTGGGCTGGATTCAGCCCCAGCCAGGGCTGTGATTTGCCGATCCCGGCTCCACCTCACATTTCATTCACTTCTCCCAGTAGCCCTTTATGATAGAGACTCTTCATGCCCCTGAATGGTATGTGTGGAAACTCAGGTTAAAAGAGATTAAATGACCTGCCCGAAGTCACCAGCTCTTCTGTGGCATAGGAAAAAGGTCTGGAAAGAGACACAGCACGGTGGGTGACAGCACAGTTAGTGCAGGAGGAGGGAATGAGGTGGCCCTTTCTCTTTCTAGTCCTTCTGTGATGCTTTCACTGCTTTTCAGTGAGCGCACACACAGCAGTTTGTCATTTTTAAATTACATAAAATGTCAGTCTCTGGGGAGAAACAAACAGGAAGGCTAATGTGAACGTATTCTTCAGGCCTCGGTGAAACTCATGATGTCTTTTGTGCTCTCTGCTGATCTCACGCCTTAGTGTGGACCAATGCCAGGAAACCGTCAGAACAGTCAGTGGCCGAGGGGATTCCTGAGGTTCCCAGCGCGGAGATTTATATGGAGCAGGACCTGGCCCAGCAGGACAAGGTGAGGGAGGGGCCTGGGAAGGGGCGGAGCTGCAGCAGCAAGCGCACTGCAGAGGGACTCCCCATACCTGTTGCCTTCTGTGACCCAGAAGTGCCCTTATCCTGCTTCCAGGAAACCACGTCTTATTCCCAGGACATTCAACCAAATGTTTTCTTCTAAATTACAACCTCCGCAACCACTGTTTATTAAGCACCTACTGGGAGCTAGGCTGCGTCCCGTGTGCTTGACATTCATTCATTCATTTAATCTTTGCTGTCTTCAAAATAGATTTTTTTAATCACCCTCACTTAACAATGAGGAAACTGGAGCTCAGAGAGGTTAAGTAATTTGCCGAAGGTTGCATAGTACAAGGGGCAGAATTGGGATTCCAACCCAGGTCGGGTTAACTTCTAAACTGGTGATGGAATCCACCACTCTTCCATCACCAGCTTTGAAGTTAAACAGACCTGAGTTAACCTCCCTAGCAGGAGGAGGTGAGAGCTGAGGTCAGAGATGGCCGAGCAAATGAGAAAGACTTGTTAAAGAACCAGAGAGGTGTAGACAGGAAGAGACAGAGGCCAGAACAGATGAATGTCAGCAAACCTGGGGATGCTGGATCCAGGTTGATTTCACCTCCGTTAGCCACAACCTGAAAATTGTATTGTAATTGACTACTTTTGCACCAACCTAATACTAAAAGCAATAGTCCAACCATGCCTTGATTCCCCTAAAGATCAGGGCCTGAGGCTGCAGCAATTCTTAGAGTTCATAAGGAGCAGAACCACCTGGAGCTCCAGGAATCTGCAGCAATGTTGAGTAAGGTGAGAAACCAGGTTTGGATGCTCTGTCAGTTAACCAGCTGGCCCGAAACTTAGTGGCTTAAAACAGCAATTTAGTCCGGGCGCAGTGGCTCACACCTGTAATCCCAGCACTTTGGGAGGCTGAAGTGGATGGATCACAAGGTCAGGAGTTTGAGACCAGCCTGGCCAATAAGGTGAAACCCCGTCTCTACTAAAAAAAATACCAAAAAAATTAGCTGGGTGTGGTGGCACGTGCCTGTCATCCCAGCTACTCGGGAGGCTGAGGCAGGAGAATTGCTTGAACCCAGGAGGCAGAGGTTGCAGCAAGCCGAGATCACGCCACTGCACTCCAGCCTGGGCAACAAAGCAAGACTCTGTCTCAAATAAAAAAAAAAAAAAAAAAAAAAAAAAAAAAACCAGCAATTTATTTCCCACAATTCTATGGGTTGCCTTGGAAGATTCTCCTGCTAGTGTCTTCTGGCCTCACTCAGGTAACTGCATCAGCCAGTGGCGTGGCAGGGGCCGATGGTCTCAGAAGTCCTCATTCCCATGTCAGAGACCTCGATTAGGACACCTGGAATTGGTTTGTTTTTGTTTTTGTTTTTTTAATTTCTTCCCATAGACAGATTTATTTATTTTTTTTTTGAAGTTTTTATAGAGTTTTTATTAGTTTTCTTTTTTAAAATTTTTCCATAAGTTATTGGGGTACAGGTGGTATTTGGTTACATGAGTAAACTAACACAGCCACTGTGGAAAACAGCATGGAGATTCCTTAAAGACCTAAAAGTAGAACTACCATGGGATCTGGCAGTCCCACTACTGGGTATCTACCCAGAGGAAAAGAAGTCATTATTCGAAAAAGACACTTGCACACACATGTTTATAGCGGCACAGTTCACAATTGCAAAATCACAGAACTAACCCAAATGCCCATCTATCAATGAGTGGATAAAGAAACTGTGGTGTATATATTCAATGGAATACTACACAGCCATAAAAAGGAATGAATTAACAGCATTTGCAGTGACCTGGATGAGATTGGAGACTATTATTCTAAGTGAATTAACTCAGAAATGGAAAACCAAGCATCATATGTTCTCACTGATATGTGGGAGCTAAGCTATAAGAACACAAAGGCATAAGAATGATAATGGACTTTGGGCAGTTGCGGGGAAGAGTGGGAAGGGGACGAGGGATAAAAGACTAATATGGTGCAGCGTATACTGCTTGGGTGATGGCGTACCAAAATCTCACCACTAAAAATCACCGCTAAAGGACACCTGGAATTGTGAGACCTCTCTGCACATGGTTCTTCATCCCAGGCTTCCTCATAATATAGTGGTCTCTGGGTCTCCAGAGGGCCAGGACAGAAGCTGTACAGCCTCTTGAGAACTTGCTTGGAGACCACTCAGCATCACGTCTGTCACTTTCTGTTGGTCAAAGCAGATCACGGGGCCAGCCTAGATTTAGGAGCTGGGAAAATAGATTCCACTGCTTGATGGCAGAAGCTGCAGAGCATTTGTAGCCATTTTTAATCCACCACGGTTGTTACGCTGGAACTAACATGTAACCACATTTCTAAATTTAAATATTTATGAACTATTTATGCCCGGACTTACCAGGACTTCTTCAAGTGCAAGTGATAACAAACAAATTGGTTTAAGAAAAAATAGGCTGGGCAGTGGCTCACGCCTGTAATCCCAGCACTTTGGGAGGCCAAGCAGGAGGATCACTTGAGCCCAGGATTTCAAGATCAGCCTGGGCAACACAGCAAGACTCCATCTCTGCAAAACAAAAACAAAAACAAAAAAAACCCAAAAAATAAAAACTTAGCCATGCGTAGTGGACCTTGCCTATAGTCCCAACTACTAGGGAGGCTGAGGTGGGAGAATCACTTGAGCCCAGGAGATCAAGGCTGCAGTGAACTGTAATTGCATAACTATGCTCCAGTCTGGGTAACAGAGCAAGACCCTGTCTCAAAAAAATTA